GAGATACGAGATATTGACAAAATTAGAAAATGAACGCCAAATATTGTTAGCTCAAATCACACAGAGATGAATCACAGTGACTTTTTTGCATTGTAAGACCAATTTAACTACATAAGCAGAACCTCTACTGAGGAACTTCTACTTGTATTAGCCTATATCCCACTTCACACTGTGGGAAAGTATCAATCCAGTGAATAAACGCAATTATATCACTGATAACTCTGGCTACCTTTCCAATAATTCAATCAGCTTATTCTGTGTCAATATGTAAAAGTCTGTTTGTAGCTGAGGTAAATGATATGCTGAGCTGAGGACATAATGCCATTACTACCCAGTTATTATTTTTTTCCATTCATGAATCAGATTTAAGACTGCCCAGTTTTCCACAGGTTGCTGGTAAATCGTGGCACTGCTAATCATATGAATCCCATTAGAGTGCATAGAGACATGTAAAACAAACAAAGCTGCAAACAGAGACACACGAAGGCAAGAAGATTTAGAGAAAAAGTTCAAGAAAGAAAACAGTCAGTTTAAACTGATATGCATTTTAAAAATTATTTTTCGAGAATCAACACAATACTCCATGATCCATGTGTTACCATGTATTATTTCTACATGAAGGAAGCATTTAATTTCAGAGTTTTTTATTTTATTTTATTTATTTATTTTTTATTCCTGAATGATGCAATTCCTGCAATTCCTCCTTCTCCTGGAGGAGATGTGATTCTACAGCAAGGCATTCCTAATATAGAACTTCTGACAGGACATGAATTAAATCCAATTCTTCAAATATATTACATCATATTCATCATAACATTCATACATCATTTAAAATCACCATAATTGAAAGGACAAAGAAATATGTATTATTAATTCCAGCCTCTTTGGCTTATTTTCAGCACAGGACTGTAAGGATGTAACAGATTTCTAAGGGGTTTACATATTGTGGGAAAAGTGTTCTAAAAGACTGTTCAATCAACACTGAAAGCAGGAAATACATTATATATACTTACACCTGGCTGTATGGAGGCTGTAATTTTATTAAATCACTATACCGCATAAACTGGCTCTGTATAAACCCTCTAACACTTCAGTCAGATTAGCTTTTCCAGAGAGTATCACCCACACAGAAGCAACCACACTGCCTGCCTGCCATACACACACACACACACACACACACACACAGCATGCAGGCATAACTGAACACAACCACCTACACTCACACTAGTTCGTACTGTACACAGATATAAAGGTTTTGAAATACTAAATAGCTCGCTCGCGCTCTCTCTCTCACACACACTTCCCCTATGCAGAATATAGTCCTCATATAACAGTCTGAATTATGTGCTTCTGCTCTAAACCCTTTAAATACATAGTGAGCTACCATAGTTCTGGGCCCACTGAAAGTATAATTATTAACCGACCACTTTATTACGCCTGCTTATTCATGCAATTATCCAATCAGCAAAACATAACATCATGCAGATGTAAGTCAAGAGCTTCTGGTAATGTTCAGAATGTGATGATGGGGGAAAATGTGTCTCTGTGATTCTGAACTTGGCACGGTTCTCAGCTACTTACAGTCATTATTAAAAATGCCTGCTTAAGACTAGCAAGTTGTTTAGGCTATAATGTTTTGCTCTGAATCAGGGTCTAAATCTGCCAACAGGACAGACAGTGTTTGTGCAGGGGATGTCTGAACCAGATACTGCATTGTTAACATGGTCAGTGTCCAGGCAGCGAGCATATAATTAGTGCCCATCTTTGTCTTCCTGAGGATTCAGATGAAGGCTGCACAAGTCTTGCAGCATGGCCCATTCAATCACACAAGAAAAACTCCTGTTAGCAGTTAATTTAAGTATTTGACCTTCGAACTCTAGAGCATGATACTTGTATCACACGATTGTGACATACTGAGAAACAGCCACACCACTATGACTGAAAAAACAAAAAAACAAAACAAAACAAAAAAACAAGTAGTGAATCAAGATTATCAACTCCGAGACCAACTACAAGTTAATATGGTAGGATTTTATTTTAATTTACAATACTGGCCAGAAGAGAATAGGCTCTGCTTCTGGAGTTAAAACAAGTCTTCTATGTGTACTTCTGATATTCATGTATTGTAATAATTTTTTTTGCCAAGTGTGAGCCCTATTGTAAGGAGACCGCAGGGTTAACGGGGTGGGAGGGAGGGTAGGTGGGTTGTGATGTTGAATTATCAAGAATGTTCATGTTCACAATCTGGATTGTGGTTATTGTCTTTCAAATTTATAATTACAATAAACAAATAAAATTTTTTTAAATCATCTTCTTAGGCAGTTTTTCCTGGCCAGTGTTTGCCTTGAGACATTCTGTATTTTGAGACAAACTGGTTAATCTATTCCTCTATTTATAAGGAAGTGCCACAAACCTCTATATCTTGGACTCTTTATAATCTCAGGCTAGGGAGCTTTAACAGTAGATGATATAACCTTATTACTTTATACTTCAAGCTCGTTAGAAAGTTGATATGAGTTTACAGTTTACTCTTTGTAAATCATTAGTTTACTCAGGGAGAGAAGCACATGGTTAATTTTACTGCACGAAGGGGTGGTGTTTTGGTTCCAGAATACAATTTTAAAGCATGTAATTGGTAATATAGTTCATATTTTATGATCTACTTTATTAGAAACACCATCCTAAAACTAAACATCCACCACCCACCCCCTTGCTCTCAGAACAGCCTCGATTCGTTATGGCATGGATTTCACAGTGTGTTGAAGATTATAGTCCATGCTGAAATGGCACCACATAATTGCTGCAGATTTGTCAGCTGCTCATTCATGCTGTGAATCTCCCCTTCAACTACATTCTACTTCATATTCATGATCATAGAACTAATTTGAGATGACTTGTTCTTTGTGAGATGGAGCATTATCATACTGGAAGATTATGATTATAAGATGGGTAAATTAAGGCTATGAAGAGATGCACATAGTCAGCAATATTATTCAGATAATCAGCTCAAAGCTGTGGCATTCAAACAATGCTTGGTATTAAATATAAGAAATTATACCACCACAACTAGTCTGAACTGTTACCACAAAGTAGATTAGGTCCATGGATTCATGCTATTGATTTCAAAGTCAGACCTTATGTTGCAGAGAAATTGAGATTCCTCAGACCAGGTAATGTTTCAATCTTCAACTGTACAGTTTTGGTGAGCCTGTGCCCACTGTACCCTCAGATACCTGTTCAAGATTGGCTGATTGGATAATTGCATGAATGAGCAGATGGACAGGTGTTCCTTATAATAAGGCTAATGAGTGTATATTTTATATACGATTTTATGCAGCCTTTCCGTTTTGTTTTGTTTTGTTTTTACTTGAAAAGTCATCTGACCATGCACTACTATTCACTACTAAAAAAAAGAAAAAGAAAGGAAAATGATTATATGCTTGAACAGAGGTGTAAAACAGAGGGCTGACCAGCTTAGAGTGACCCAGTGTGTTAGATTAGTGCAGTTCCATGGTGGATTTCATTAAGAACTATTACAGCTCTCTGCTTGTACTGGTGTAGACTGATGTCAGAACAATAAGCAAATTTATCAGCGGGTTCCATGAAAATCCATCTGGATGTGGTTTTGATTCATGCAGTATGTAAAACAGAAATCTTCTCTGTCTTTCATCGGTTTTCTTCCACCTCTTAAAGCATGTCGGTAGGTAGACTAGCCACGCTAAATTGTCCCTAGATGTAAATGAGTGTAGGAGTATGTGTCATTGGTGTCCTGCGATGGTGTGTTCCAACCTTGCATCCAGTGTTTGCAGGATAGGATCAACAGCTGAACATCTTCAACTGAAGATGTATGAATAAACTTGCAGGGCAACATCAGACATGATGTGTAAAAGAGAGAAGTGTGTTTCTCATTTAAAAATAATAAAATAAAAATGTACATACTATACAGATTTAGTATTTCATCATTTCCTAAAATCATAGTCTTGCATGTCAAATGGTGCTTTTTACAGGCACTTGATGAGTTCTCTCTTATTGCATTCATAAGTAGGGCATTAGAAACAGACACCCGAGTGGATTCTCAGTGGACTCAATTCAATCAAGAGCAGCCAAAGCTGAATATAGGGTGCATCTTAAATGGCATACAGCATAATATGCTTTTGGATTCTAAAAGAGCCTGCAGGCTTCGATCTAAGTTCATTGAAAAGGGCTACGCTTTCTGCAAAGACACTGGTGTAAAACATTTTGGGTGATAAAATGCATTTAGTTTAAACAAGGGGTCTTGTTGTACAATACTATATATTATAGGTAATTATAGGTAAAACAAGGGATTCAATTCCATTTTTAAGAGAATAGCAACAACAGCTCAGAAAACAAATAGCAGAAAGGGCATGATCATGAGAGCATGAGAACTGAGGAAAGATGTGTTATAGTCATTCACACAAACATTACTGGTCTTTTATTACCAGTTAACTGCAGTTGCAACCTCAGCCAAAAATCATGGAAAGGCATTTTTAAAATTGTCAACCACAGCATTGTCAGCTAGGTTGGCATCCTAACTCTTCTAAAATACCTCATAGATTGAAATAAAATAAAATAAAATAAAAAACAAGGCTTAGGGTCATACTTGGATCATCCATTAAGAGAAGGACTTGTTTTATGAGACACAATGGTAGAGTCATGGCCCAGGATAATACCTTGTATTGCTCTGCATGGTGAGTCATGTCTGTCTCCAGTAAGATATTTCCAGCCTTAGTGACTCCAGTGCACTTCTCTGTGACACAAACACACACACAATAAAATGACACACTACCTCCTCAGATTATGGTTATATTTCCAGTTTATACTAATTTTTAAAACCAGTATTCAAAGAAGGCACTGGAATGGTCTGAAAGATAGCTCTGTACAATAAAAAAAGTTTCTGTTACATTTATGGCATTTGGCAGACTTATATTTATCTCGTTTATACAACTGAGCAGTGGAGGGTTATGGTCCCAGTAGTGGCTTGGTGATACTGGGATTTGAGCTCACAACCTTCTGATCAGAAGTACAATGTCTTAACCACTGAGCTACTACCACCCCAGATGCAATAATATATACACTACCCATCAAAAGTTTGTACAAACCTGCCAAAGAGCTCCATTTTGGTCTCATCTGAGCACAACAATTTCACCCAGTTGTACTCTGATTGTCAGATGAGACCAAAATGGAGCTCTTTGGCATCAACTCAACTGCCTTCTTTGGAGGAGGAATGCTGCCTATGACCCCAAGAACACCATCCCCACCTTCAAACATGGAGGTGGAAACATTATGCTTTGGGGGTGTTTTTCTGCTAAGGGGACAGGACAACTTCACCGCATCAAAGGGACGATGGACCATGTACCGTCAAATCTTGGGTGAGAACCTCCTTCCCTCAGCCAGGGCATTGAAAATTAAAAGTAATTACTAAGTCATTACCAAGTACTAAGTCATGTTTTGCAGAGGGGTCAAATACTTATTTCCCTCATTAAAATGCAAATCAATTCATAAAATTTTTGACATGCATTTTTCTGGATTTGCTTGTTGTTATTCTGTCTCTCACTGTTCAAATAAACCTACCATTAAAATTATAGACTGATCATTTCTTTGTTAGTGGGCAAATGTACAAAATCAGCAGAGGATCAAATACTTTTTTCCCCCTCACTATATACATACATAAACGTGTGTGTGTGTGTGTGTATTTAGGTCAGCAAAAGTATTGGAACAGATAGTCTTAAAGTAAAATACAGCAAATAACACTTACTAGTTGCAAATCCCTTGCTTGCAATATTTGCATCAAGCCAGTGACATCACCAATCTGTTACAATCTTCTTCTGTAATGCTTTTCCAGGCTTAAACTGTAGCTTTTTTCAGTTGTTGTTTGTTTTGGGGGTTTCTCCCTTAAATCTCCTCTTAGGGGGGGAAATGCATGCTCAATTAAGGTCTGGTGATTGACATTGCCAGTCTAAAACCATCCACTTTTTTCCCTTGATGAAGTCCTTTGTTATGTTGGCAGTGTGTTTTGGGTCATTGTGCTACATGTTGTGTTACATGATGCAGGAAGTTCCTCCAAATTAATTTCGATGCATCTCTGTAAATTGGCAGACAGAATGTTTCTGTAGACTTCTGAATTCATTCTGCTGCTACCATCATGAGTTGCATCATCAATAAAGATTACTGAGCCTGTTCCAGAAGCTGCAATGCAAGCCCAAGCCATGACACTACCTCCACCGTGTTTGATGAGCTTGTATGTCCTTTCTTTCCATCACTTTGTCAGAGGTTAATCTTGGTTTCATAACTTTTGTGTCTTATCTCTGCATTTCTTTGCAAATTCCAGTCTGGATTTCTGATTCCTACTGCTGATGAGTGGTTTGTATCTTGTGGTATGGCCTCTTCACCCCTTCACCCCTGCTCTGTGGAGCTTGTCACTGACTGTGGTTTTGGAGTTTTTCTTCACAGATCTCACAATGATTCGGTCATCAAATGTTGTTGTTTTCTTTGGCCAACCTGTTCCATGTCCAGTTGCTAGAATACCAGTGGTTTCTTTTGATTTTCCCTCTTTTCCTAGCTTTAAAATGACTTGCTTTTCTGCCATATACACAGGTATATGGTTGGAAATAGAGCCTGAAGAAGCCATACTCAGTTTATAGCAGTTCGGCTTTCTAGCTGGCTAGCTAGGTCACATTCATTTGTACATTCCTGTTAAAGGTGCTTCTGGTAAAATTGGAATGTCTTCCTTTTAATCTTTAACTGATGAGTTTTCATATTTAAAAACCAAAAGTTCATTAATTTTTTTTATGGTGAACACAGGTGAACAAAGTGATACCCACAATGAAACGTACTGGTATGGTTATAAGAAATATAGGCACTCTTGGAGCAGTGCTCAACCAGTCTAATACTATACACACACACATACAACTGAATAATATACTAATATACATCAAAATAACTCAACACACAGCCATTAATGTCTAAACCGCTGGCAACAAAAGTGGGTACACCCCCAAGTGAAAATGTCCTAATTGGGCCCAACATGTCAATATTTTGTGTGGCCACCATTATTTTCCAGCACTGCCTTAACCCTCTTGGACATGGAGTTCACCAGAGCTTCACAGGTTGCCACTGGAGTCCTCTTCCACTCCTCCATGATGACATCATGGAGCTGGTGTATGTTAGAGACCTTGAGCTCCTCCACCTTCCATTTGAGGATGCCCCACAGATGCTCAATAGGGATTAGGTCTGGAGACATGATTGGCGAGTCCATCACCTTCACCCTTAGCTCCTTTAGCAAGGAAGTGGTCGTCTTGGAGGTCATTATCAAGCTGGAATACTGCCCTGCAGCCCAGTCTCCGAAGGGAGGGGATCATGCTCTGCTTCAAGTATGTCACAGTACATGTTGCCATTCATGGTTCCCTCAATGAACTGTAGCTCCCCAGTGCCGGCAGCACTCATGCAGCCCCAGACCATGACACTCCCACCACCATGCATGACTGTAGGCAAGACAGACTTGTCTTTGTACTCCTCACTTGGTTGCCGCCACAAACATTTGACACATCTGAACCATCTTGGTCTCATCAGACCACAGGACATGGTTCCAGTAATCCATGTCCTTAATTTGCTTGTCTTCAGCAAACTGTTTGTGGGCTTTCTTCTGCATCATCTTAAGAAGAGGCTTCCTTCTAGGACGGCAGCCATGCAGACCAATTTGATGCAGTGTGCAGCATATGGTCTGAGCTCTGACAGGCTGACCCCCCACCCCTTCAACCTCTGCAGCAATGCTGGCAGCACTCATACATCTATTTCCCAAAGACAACCTCTGTGACGCTGAGCACGTGCACTCATCTTCTTTGGCCGACCATGGAGAGGCCTGCTCTGAGTGGAACCTGTCCTGTTAAACCATGGTATGGTCTTGGCCACCATGCTGCAGCTCAGTGTCAGGGTCTTGGCAATCTTCTTATAGCCTAGGCCATCTTTATGTAGAGCAATAATTCTTTTTTTCATATCCTCAGAGAGTCCTTTGCCATGAGGTGCCATGTTGAATTTCCAGTGACCAGTATGAGGATGACACCAAATTTAACACACCTGCTCCCCATTCACACCTGAGACCTTGTAACACTAACAAGTCACATGACACCAGAGAGGGAAAATGGCTAATTGGGCCCAATTTGGACATTTTCACTTAAGAGTGTACTCACTTTTGTTGCCAGCAGATTATACATTAATGTCTGTGTGTTGAGTTATTTTGAGGGGACAGCGAATTTACACTGTTACACAAGCTGTACATTCACTACTTTACATTGTAGCAAAGTGTCATTTCTTCAGTGTTGTCATATGAAAAGATATAAACAAATATTTACAAAAATGTGAAGGGTGTACTCACTTGTGAGATACTGTACATTGATATTTCTGTTGAATAAAAGATTGAAAAAGCTAATTTTCCTTGCGGTTTTGTTCAAGTATATCAACTTCATTAATAGGTACTGTTTCAAAGATGATCAAATGTTTGCTTGTCCAAATATGTTAATTTAATTTTTTTTTACATGGGGTGTACTTATTTTTTCACACAACTTTATATATTTGTTGTTTGTGTGTGCGTGTCTTTTATATATACCTGACAATCACAAGTTAATGGTCATTAACTCCACTAGTTACATTTGTCTATTTACTAATTTTAGCCATAAACCTTTTTCAAAATTCAATTTTACAAAAAGATAAATAAAACACCAAAAGAAAGTATTGTTACAGCCCTAGATGGGGGTTATTCCAGCTACTCTAAAAAGGTCCCCACACCTAACATCCACACTTAGATCATTCCACAAAAAGCTGGTCTACGATTAGCAAAGGAGTCAAATTTCATTAAAACTGTCAGGAGCACCAAAGTGTAATGGTTTTGCTCTGTAATTAGAAAGAAGCCTCATTTTAACATGTGAGATAGAGGAAGAGAGAGAGAGCACAGGGTCCCACCTCATTCTGTGCCATGGGCTTTACCCTCCAGACACATCTCCTGCACACTTTAATTATACCTAGAGAAGCAAATGAATTTATCTCCAAGATAAGGAGAAAAGGTAGTCCATAGCCCAATCCAAAATTCAGACAGGAGAAAGCAGAACTGAGAATCTGTTTTAACTTTGTTTGGAGAAATAAATTACAGTTGTGCCCAAAAGTTTACATACCCCTTGTAGAATCTGCAAAATCTTAATTATTTTAACAAAATAAGAGGGATCATAAAAATCCCATATTATTTTTTATTTAGTTCTGTCCTGAATAAGCTATTTCACATAATAGATGTTTACACATAGTCCAAAAGCAAGATAATAGTTGAATTTATTAAAAAAAATAGTCCATTCAAAGTTTACATAGCCTTGATTCTTAATACCTTGTGTTGTTACCTTGATGATAAAAAAAAAAAAAAAAAGTTTTTATGTTTTGTGATAGTTGTTCATGAGTCCCTGTTTGTCCTGAGCAGTAAAACTGCCCACTGTTCTTCAGAAAAATCCTCCAGGTCATGCACGTACTTTGTTTTTCGAGCATCTTCTGTATATTTGACCCCTTTATATGATGTTGAGATCCATTTTTTCACACTGAGGATAACTGAGGGACTCATACACAACTATTGCAAAAGGTGCAAACATTCACTGATGCTCAAGAAGGCAACATGATACATTAAGAAACAGGGGGGGTGTAAACATTTGAACAGGATGATCAGTGTAAATTGTTATTATTTTGTTTAAAGATCTTTTTTTTTTCATTTAGTACTGCCCTTCAGAAGATAAATAAGGTATACGTGTCTCCCAGAAGACAAAACAATAACAGTTTACACCGACCATCCTGTTCAAAAGTTTATATCCCCCTGGGAATAATGGGCAGTTTAACTGTGAACAGAGTAATTTTTTATAAATCCAGCTATTATCTTGTCTTGTGGACTATATGTAAACATCTGTTATGTGAAATAGCTTATTCAAGACAATACTAAATAAAAAATAACATGGAATTTTTATGATCCCTCTTATAAAAAGAATTAAGATTTTGTAGACTCTACAAGGGGTATGTAAACTTATGGGC